TATTTCTGTGACTTGGATTGTTAATATGGCTCGACATTTCAATTCAAAGCTGGGTTGGTGCAAAACCTTTCACTTCGTTTGAGGAGGTGAGTAGAAGAACATCAGCGGGATTGTCTTGCAGTTTTGGTTGTCGATTTGTGCAAGTGGGTCCTCGGCGCACCGCCTTGCGTCGTCCTGCGTCGTGCGTCTTGTGACGGACGTCGTCGGAACAGGACGACATGTCTTACGCGAACCCGCCGGACAGAAAGACGAGAAAATATGGCGGCTGCAGTCGAATCTTTGTCCACTCAATGAGGCATCTCCTCTTTTGCTTGCAGATGGTATGTTTTGTGAAGAAAAGTTGTGTTTCCAGGACTCTCTTCTTTCGTAATTGGTGAGCTCACTTCCGTCTCGAGTGAAAGGGGGCGGTGAAGACATTCGAAGGTCGGCTTCACCAGAAGGCGACAACGGATTCCTCTTGACAAACTGTCGACGTGGCTGACGTTGTTTCCAAAGAAATCTCCTTCGACTCCGCTGAAAAGACGCCAAGTTTTTGTCCATCAAGTGACGAACATCATCAAAGCAAGTTTTCATCTTCAAAATAAAATTGAAGCTGACGAGTCAAGAAAGCTCGTCGACAAATCCCTAAAAAGTGGTATATACAGTCTACATCTTGATCATGTATAAAGTTACGGTCATATGTCAAATTCGATGCCTGTGAGTACGTCTGTCTCTGTATGTGTACGAGCATGTTTGTTGTTGTTTGATCTTGTTTTCGCAACATGACCAAGTTGCCAAAACAAGATCAAGCCATTTCCATCCAACGAAAGGAGACTGCGACCATTTTGCTCTTCATGTCTATCGTCGAGCCTGAGTTGAGCTGACGTTTCCATTCAATTCACACAAAATTTGTTCTCATCCATTTCATATTACTGATTTACTGTTAGCCTCGAAAATAACACTTAATTGGGAAAATTATCGTTAAGCATGGCGTCCTGCTTCAACGATGCACGCGACGTGGGGACGAAAGTTGAGCAAGGATTCATCGGGTCTCATTTCGATGTGCCAATGACCTATTTGCACAAAGTTACACTCAGAGCTCGAAAGCAATCACCCCCGCGACGGCCTCCGCCCGAACCAACTTACCAATCCCTTCCATTCACCTCTTCAAGCGAAAGCAAAAGCAATCTGAGGTCAATCCTTGAAGGGATTACTTCGAAAGCCAGTTTTGCTACATACCAAAATGCCATAACCAGGCCGCTTCATTATTCATTTGTAAGCCTTATGCAATTGTGCATAAAGACAAAAGGCGATGTGCTTTTTATTTTTCCAATTAAGTATTGTCTTCCTGACTACCAGTAAATCAGTAGTATGAGGTGTATTCACACAATTTCGTTTAAGCCGATGAACGACCGGTAGAAGAAGAAATTTCCTACTCACTGACGTTTCCATTCAATTTCACATTGCCTTTATTCCGCAAAAGTTGTTCTCATCCAGTTTCGACGTTTGCGAAAGTAAGGCAATGCGAAATCGAATGGAAACGTCGGGGAGTAGGAAAATTCTTCTTCTACCGGTCGTTCATCAGCTTAAACGAAATTGTGTGAATACATCTCATACTACTGATTTGCTGGTAGTCACGAAAACAATACTTAATTGGAAAAATATAAAGCACATCGCCTTGGTCTTTATGCCCAATTTCATAAGGCTTACTAATGAATAATGAGGCGGCATTTATTCCCCAAAAGTTGTTCTCATCCACTTTCGACGTTTGCCAAAGCAAGGCAATGTGAAATTGAATGGAAACGTCAGCTCAACTCATACGATTGTGGGAAAATGCTTCTTCTACCAGTCCTTCAGCATCTTCATCACCTTAAACAAAATTGGATGAATGTCTCGTAATAACTTCTTTCTGACTCTGTTGATGTGCGTCGCATGAAGCATGCATCGCACAACCGAGGCGTCAACAATTCAAGTCGGTCCTTCTTGGAAGGTGGGAACTGCAAACAACACACGCACCAACAAACGGAAGGCCGCACCAGCACAAAGTCGACGAAAACACTTTCACCAACTAGCCTTCTTTCATATCCGACACGAATGGGAAAAGTGTGAAACCGTCAACTTCCACAACAGCCAGTCTGTCTACCCGAAATGACAACAGCGTCAGCCTCCACAACGGATACTCTCGTCGCTGCTGCTGCAACCGTGGCAACCGGTACAACTGAAAAAAGTGCTCAAAAACTGCCTGCTTCCACCGTTACGAGCATTGCAGATGCTGCCGCCTGAACAGGTACCGGCCCCAGCAACGGTAGACACGCTGGATTGACTGTCATCCAGTCTCTCGGCTGGCCGGACGATGTTGCCGACACCTTCTAGCGCCCGATGGACGCCAACTTTGGCCCGTTTTCCCTTTTCGCCCGGACGCCTCTTCTGCCATTTGTCTGCAGCTTGCCTTCTGCACATCATCTCAATTCGTACCGAATTTGCCGCCCGGCGGAGGTCACTTTCTCGAGGCGGCATGTTCTTCTGGCCACAAAGCCTACTTATCAAAGAAATATAAGTAGTATGGTCGATCGCTGTGGCAAATACAACTTGGCTTAATCGAAAAATCACACCACAGAATGCGATATGGCAAAATGCCTGGCCTTCTTTGACATGCACATCTGCTCTCTGTCAACCAAGACAGTCGTTTCAGTGTGGTTTAGTGCTCAACGTGTCGAGATTGTACTCGGCACCGTCACGGTTCGAGTCCCGCCGAGGGTGTCGATGCAACCGAGACGAGGTCGAAACTGCCGTCCACTCTAGCCGGGCTGAGAATACCATTTGGCAAGCAAAGTTGTGTGAAATTCACCGGCCAAGTTGACTATATTCACATGATTATGGGTAAATTCAACTGCCAGTCGCCGTGACACTCTAAACCAAATAGGACGATTACATCTCATACACATTTTTGCCGCAGTCGATATGTGCGATGATGTTGTAGATGATGTGGCTGCCGATGATGATGATGATGATGATGATGATGATGCTTGAACTAATTGATACATGAGATGTATTCCCCAAATTTTGTTCAAGATGATGAAGAACTGGTAGAAGAAGAATTGGGTGAATACATGTCATATTACTTATTTACTGGTAGACACAAAAAAAAACTCTATCTTCGGATGGGATTGCCAGCTACACACAAAGGCACACACAAGTATGTATATATATATATTTATTTATATTTATATTTTATCATATACATGGACATCCGCCAAGGCACATAATCACATAATCTCACGATGCATATGCCATCAGTGCGTGCTTGTGTGTGTGTCTTTTATGCGCCTTCACAGCGAATGGGCCTTTATGAGCCAAATGACAATCGAGATGTGCCAGTTTGGAAGATGTTTTTCTGCTTAACGGACAGTAATTCTCATCAATTCGTATTTTGGAATAAACTGCAAAAGGCCATTTCTCGCCTCCAGCCTTGAGGCCAGTTTTCGTCTCGCCAACGCCAACGCGGCGGGATTCGAACCAGGGATGAATGAGTTATGAAGCAGACACGCACACACAGACACACACAGACACAGACACACACACGCAAAGCTTGTCCTTTCTACAGTTTTATCAACAGTTCACCTCGGCCCAGTACCATCCGGTCGTGCGGCAGGACCCCGGACGCTTTGGACGCCTCGAATGTTCTTCTTGTTCCCTTTCACTCGACTCAACCTCGACTCGCCCCCTCTTCACACCTCATGTGCCAATGCACACAAAGACACGCACCAAATGGACGTAAACCGACGTACACGCCATCGTAGATTATCCCCATCCATGACCAGATGTGCATACCCGATCGTGTCCGACCGCTAAAACCACATTCTAATTAATGCAGCAAACGAGGTTGTGCTACCACCAAGTTGGTCATTGGTATCCTCGCGTCCACGACTGGCCTCCCACCCGAACACAGGCCGGCAGATGCACACGCATCGACACACATTGACAACTTGGCGACCGGGTGGGAGAGTGTGTTTCGGCACACGGTCGGGCCGTTTTGTCGGCCGGCCACAAATGCCGGCAAGAGGGAGTGTGAAGTTGGCGTATGAAAAGGGGTCGCATAAAAATCGCAAATGGGCAAACTTGTGCTGTCAACCGATTTCCGGTTGAGGGTGTGTGTGGGAGGATGTGAAAGCTGACGCCCGGCCTCCGTTTCAGGTCGGGCTCACGGTGCCACAGCAAACATGTCCACCGCGGCTGGCCACGACGTTGACGACGTATGGGCCAGGCCCAAGTGTCCGTCCCGTCCGGCCAGTCCGGCCAGACTGAGACCGCGTGCCAACGCAAAAAGGGTGCTACCAACGACGCCTCCAGTCGAGGCCTGGCTGACAAGATGCGTCTCAGACGGCACAACAACAGTTCACTTTTCACTGTCTTTATGTGTGTGTGTGTGTGTGTGTGAATAAATTGGATGCCTTCTTCACGGTTGTGGTGGAAACGAGCTCAGCTTCGTACGTCGGACTAGCTTTTGGTGCTAATCGCGAGGTTGCAACAAGTAAAGCAGACGAATGACATTTCTTCTATCACAAACGAAAAGATGTGTTTTTGTGTGTGTGTGTGTGTGTGTGTGTGTGTATGTGTTGAATCGCGCCAGTAGACTCCTCTTGACCGGTTGACGATTGGATGTGCTGGATTCCGATGCAAACATGCTAACCTGTCGTCCGTCCCATGGCGAAGAAAAGTTGGGTTTCGAGGACTCTGCTCTTTCAGGATTGTTGAGCTTACTTCTGTTTCCGAGGCAATCTCTTTCGATTCCGGTGAAAAAATGCCAAGTTTTTGTCCGTCAAGTGACATCATCACGACCAAATTGAAGCTAACGAGTCAAGAAAACTGACCGGCAAATCCCTAAAAAGTGGTATCTTTACTTCGAAGCATGTGAGTGTGTCTGTGTGTGTGTGTGCCTGTTTGTGTTTGTCTTGTGGTGGAAGCGACCTTTGAATCGCTTCACGGCACACCTTCTCTCGAAATGGCAGCAAGTCCGTCCGTCCTATTGTCATTATCATCGCTGACATTCCAGCTGATGCGTAAAGATTACATGCACATGTCGATGTTCACGGTTTTCCGAAGAATAAACTCATTTTGTCAGTTCCAATTGTGCGTTAGTCTAACAGAAAAAAGTGCTTGTGTCTGTTTGTGTGTTGTTGTGCTAGCTTTAAGTCGGTGTGAAGACGTCTCATCGCAAGTTGGAGGCTGATTGTCGTGGAACTGTTGGCGAAGATCTGTACGAAGACTGCTCATCTTCCACTCGTCCACTTCCATCTTTCTTCCGCAATGCTCAAGATCAACTGACCAGTTTGTGTACAGTCCGCGCTGAATGCCTTCCATGCCGCAGTGCCTGTATCCTCCGTTCTGCTCCTCCTTTGTCTGCTCATCATCGTCCACTCTCCTCATGCTGCTATTCATTCTCTCTCTC